TTAAAAAAATTTATGTGGGTCCCGCTTAAGCGACCAACATTGGTCGCTAATCTCAGTATATCTTTGACCAAACAAGTCTGACCAGTCCAGTCAACAGTTTGACTAAATTTGCGACCAAATAGCGTCCAACTTTGGTCGCTAAAGTATTTCAAATATTCTTTTTATTATTTTCGGCAGTTTGACGACCAACTTTGGTCGCTTTTTTTGACAGATCAAATTTGGTCGCTAATCTTTGGTCGCTTTTTACAGGGATTCTAGTAGTGAGAAACCATATAACCATTAAAGTAGATGATATAAACACAAATAAGAGAAAAGCTAGTTGCAAACCAAGTAATATTAAAATAGTCAATGTCTAATACCCCTATTGGCTCAAATTTACTAATATGAATGGCCTTGGCCAACTGGCTCTCTGCATTCTAAACATGGTTGCACGATAAGAAATCCGACATTAGCAAACTTCTAAAGAGAGCTATGTGAATATGCACGTGGGAATTAACCGCTTGTTTGGATGGTTGTTACATATTGTATTGTATCGTATTGTTATTTTAAAATATAATGTTTGTTTTGATTGTTACTAAAATTTTATTGTATCGTACCGTTAAATCCATCGTTACGTAATGATAAAAAGTATCACTTTATGGAACGACGGATTTGGTCTGGTGGCGTCGTTTCCTTACTTTTTCTCTCATCTTGCTCTTCTTTATTATTAAATAATCATATTTTATCCTTTATCCTACTTTTTTATATAATAATATCCTATTTTTTTTAGAAATGTTACACGTTTATTCTTCATATTGTTGGTGCGTGACATCGTGAAATGATGGTAAACTATACAATCTATCCAAATGTTGTATTCATCAAACAATACAATACAATGCAGTATGATACAATACGATACAGCATGAAATGAATATGTAACGACAATCCAAACAAGCTGTAAAATAAGGAGAGAAGGAAGAGGCAAATATAGTTGGTAAAGGGCTGTGTAATTTGTGTATCTATCAATACAAGTGCTTTGGTAAAGAAGTAACAAAAGAAGTAAATACAAAGTCGAGCAAAGAGATCTCAAATCAGCCTAAAACCTAGAGTAACTAAAATTCTGTATCGCAAATCCAAACAAAACGAACACATGCATGGATTTCATTGCACATATTGGAAGAGGAGAACCCCCACAACCTATCTTTTTCACATCATCAAAGACCATTAACAGAAAAAATTCACACTTTGAAGGAGTGTCGAATACAGATAAGCAACTCTGCAAAACATATAAATCCGACACTGAAAGATTGAAGAATGAAAAGCGCAGAAAAAGTTGAAGAAAGAAAGATTGTAATTTTTGAAAAAAAAAGTATATAGGGCCTCTCACCTATTCTGTTTCGAAAACTAAATGGAGAGGGATCATTGGATTGTTTAACAAGCGCCAAACAGTGTCATGTCCCAAAAAATCTTATCCAGGAGTATAATAATATGAGTAATTACAGTCAAAGTGGGCGGCTTGAGGAAAAGCTTTAATTTATGAAAACTTTATATTAAAAAAAATCAGAAAATTACTTGGTCTCCAAGTACATGAATTTTAATCAGCTACCAAAGCCTAATGACAACACGTTCCCCTTGCTTCCCAAGCACTCAAGCGCTTATAAATAGCAGAAAGAATAATACATTGTTACTTCGCCAGAAAATAGAGCAAAGGTCAGCAAACATAGAGAGCCATGTCTCAAGTTGCTGAAATTCATGTAATGCAAAAACATCACAAGGAGAAGATGAAGAAAATCAAAATGGACGAGAAAGGAGTTGTTAATGAAGATAATAAGACTTGTGGTTGTGGGAAGAAAGTTGTTTCTGCTATTAGGCAATTGCTTAGTTGTGGAGGGAGCAAACCTGCAATAATATGGGATTACAAAGATGCCTAAAAGAACGACTTTTAATTTATGGAAGAGATGTTTCACTTTGAGTATAATGATTTTGTCCTAGAGTTGTTTGATTATAAATGTGATTTGGAATTTGGAAAAATAAATATTCTTTCTAGTCAATCTCACAAGTTCACCATGTTGGGTAATCCATCGTTACATGTCTCTAATTTCCCTTCTCTTCCTTCTAAGAAAACTAGGCATGGATGCCCGTGCACAGCACGGGCCCAGCACTACAACCTAGATGTAGGGGTGTATGTAGGTCGGGTTGGTATGGATTTTGCAATTACCAAACCAAACCAATTGTGTCGGGTTATTAAATCTAAAGACCAAACCAAACCAATAAAATTCGGTTTTTCAATCTCGATTTTTCTCGGGTTATCGGGTTATTCGGGTTTTTTCCCGGTAAAATCTTCGTATGTAATGATCCGGCCGGTCGTTTCTAGTGTTATAGCCTCATTCCCCCGTTTCCTGCTCTTTTGTGTTCTTCAGCTGTATTTTGACTTACCGGGTTAGTTGGTTTGGGTCCGGAGTGGTTTTGGAGTAAATTGAGACACTTAGTCTCATTTGTGAAGGCTTAAGTTGGGAAAGTTGACCGGATGTTGACATATGTGTAAACGACCTCGGATTTGAATTTTGATGGTTCCGTTAGCTCCGTTGGGTGATTTTGGACTTGGTAGTGCATCCCGAATGTGATTTGGAGGTCCGTGGTAGAATTCGGCATGAATTGACGAAAGTTGGAATTTTGGCGATTTTGGCCGACAGCGGAAATTTTAATATCGGGGTCAGGATGGAATTCCGGAAGTTGGAGTAGGTTTGTGGTGTCATTTCTGACTTGTGTGCAAAATTTAAGGTCATTCGGACATGATTTGATAGGTTTCGGAGTCGTTTGTAAAATTTGGAAGTTTAGAAGTTCTTAAGCTTGGATTCGGGGGTAATTTTGGTGTTTTAATGTTGTTTTGGGTGATTCGAAGGCTCAACTAAGTTCGTATAATGTTATGGGATGTGTTGGTATATTTGGTTGAGGTCCCGAGGGCCTCGGGTTGATTTCGGATGGTTAATGGAACAAGATTGAAGTTTGAAGGATTGCTGAAGTGGTGTGGTTCTGGTGTTTTCGCACCTGTAGTGGGGAGCCTACAGGTGCGGACCGCAGAAGCGAATAGAATGCTCGCAGGTGCGGGCAAAAGTGTCCTGGACTGGAAGCGCAGGAACGAGATCTGGAGCGCACCTGCAAGACCGCAGATGCGGAATATCGCCTGGGAAGGAAGGATCGCAGAAGCGGGCAAGGCCCACAGGTGCGATTGTTTGACCGCAGATGCGGACTTTGGGCGAGTAAGTGAGATCCGCACCTACGATGAGAAATCTGCTGGTGCAGCATCGCAGAAGCGGGATGTGGAGCGCAGGTGCGGTTCCACTGGGCAGAAAGTATATAAGGAAGACTTCGCGAATTTTGCTCATTTCCACCATTTTTTA